TGCTTCTAAAACCATCTAGCGGGTATGTGTGATCTGTAAACTGCTCCTCTCCATGTTCATTTACCGGTATGAGTTTTCCGAGGGTAAAAGCGAATGGCTGAAGGAAAAAAAGCAGGTGCCCAATTATCTGACTTCGTAAGCTTCAGCTTTGTTTGGCTTCTACCCATTAACCTCATAGGCTTGCTTGGATCCGTGGTTGTGGGAAGCCATCTTGTCCATCTTGCTGATTTGTGCAGACACACTAGCTAGTACGCCACGTCAAGGTTTATTCTAAATGTTTAGTAACCACCTTCTAAACCCCCTGCTATCATAAATTTAATGGTTTTTCACAAATTGAATCTCAATTGGAAGTTAATAGTTAGGTAGAGAAGACTAATCGTAACAATCGTAACAGCGAGACTCCTAATCGAAACGCGTTTTCTGAAAACTGTTTCATTTTTCTACATAGTACCGCCTTCGTACGCGTTAAACACACTCTTTCCCTCGTCACGGTTTTGCAACTTGTGTTTGATCTACTCACCTTTTGATCGGAATTTCGAACTGATTTGCCGCTTGAATCTGATGTTTTTGTCAGTGTTGTTACCTCATGATTGCCTCGGTCTGACAGATACTGTCTGTTTGATGGTAACAGAGCGAATCAAATTTTCGTTCAAGTACACAGCGGGTTTCGCAATTCTTACCGCTTATCGGTTATGCGTATTTGACATTGGGCGGTGGTGGTCAAGTGGTTAGGTCACCAACTGGTGACCCTTGAGTCCTGGGTTCGAATCGTTCCGCCACCGCCCGCTTTCCCGGGCAGCCTTTGTATAGCCGTGGCCCCCGTCCCTGAATGTTGACTGTACATTTGTATATCCAACAAATAAAAAAGGGAGTAAAACGAGATTATTGTTATTATTGTCTCTCCAGTGTTGGTGCTTCTACTTCCGTATCATAAAAGGAGGGAGCCGTTTAATTACATTCGTTATTTTGCACATTCACACCCTAGGACGAACCTTTTTAGCTCAATAACCAAGCTCATCGTCTCCCTCTGTTACTAATTTGGCATAATGTCAACCAGTCAGACAATTTCCACAGAATTGTTCCATCTGCTTTTTTTACGCAGTCGGGAATGGGTTCCGGACTGTTCAACTTTACTCAGTCTCCCGTGCGTTTGATCGAACGGGACAAGATCGGAGTCCGATTCGCCGATGTGGCCGGATGCGAAGAAGCCAAACTAGAAATAATCGAGTTTGTTAACTTTCTCCGGAACCCCGAACGCTACGAGGCGCTCGGTGCAAAAATACCACGAGGTGCTGTACTGAAGGTTAGTTAGTTCTTTTTAGTTTTTCCACATAATTCTTCTTTCGTGTGAACGGTTCTTCGACATTGGGAGAAGTTATGTGTCTCTGTTTTTAATCTCCTACTCCCATTGTGTTTGGTTTCGAATAGACCCCTTTGATGGTCATGGTTAGTTAACTACCCAAGGACCACGACTAATAATATTGAACAACCGGTCTGATGTGCTGTCTTTCGCATAGTTCAAGTTTCGTTTAAAAACGACAAAACTGTGTAATTCGTACAGTTGTTGTCATTGCGTACCATTTCGAGTTGTTTTCGGTTGTATGTAGGGGAACAACAGAAGATCCCGGTACGGAGTTTGCCAAGAATCTAAGTCAAAGCCAAGCTAACAAAGCTAAATGAAACCTACTCTATCGCACCACCGCTAATGTGAACGGTCAGATGTACTCATACTCTGTGTGATGCATCATCATCATCATACTACAGTGAGATACAGTGAAGCGAACTTCACTGATCGCTGCCTAGCTCACAGTGTACAAAAATCAAGTGATAAAGCACAAGGCGGAGAGGGATTGGGCCTAATTGGATGGAGGCAAAGAAAAATAACTTCTATGGTCAACATACAGAGTACAAAATCTAAGTGTGCATACATACCTTTTCAAGCATTCTGAACTGATAAGAAATGACAACAAGAACGCCACTGCTGTCGGTTAATCGCCATATCCTTCAGTGTCTCCAACCAGCCAGTTGCAGAGTCTTTCGGACCCCAACCTTGAAGACGGGAGACACCGATTCTACCTAATCGCTCTGTGCATTTGTTTATGCCTCGCTTTCATGTCGTCTGTTGACCTCCGCGCGGTTTCTCTCAACTTGGAGCCGCAACTGCGAATAAGGCTCGGTGCGGTAGACGATGGCTGGGCATGCATGTGTGGTGCAACCTCTCCTTACTCGTTTAGTCAATTACTTTTGGCCAATCAAACCCCTGTATTTTGTCAGGAATGCAAGTCACATATCGGTGGGCGACCATCTTTAAATCAGAATCATGCCACAAGCAGCTGCAGCATGTACAATGTGGAAGTAGGAATTATAGTTCTTGGTTACTCTTACGGTGCCTTTTTGTAACTCGATATTGCTTGATCAGTTTGACGGGAAATGACACGCCTAGTGCTCGACGTAAACACGTGCCCGATTGTTTCGTTCTCTCTCTCACCACATTCACACGTTCCGTGGCTCTTACACCCACCCCGCGTTTATCCAATCCAGGGTCCCCCGGGTACTGGCAAAACACTATTAGCCAAGGCTACCGCTGGCGAGGCTAACGTCCCGTTTCTATCCGTGTCCGGTAGTGAATTTCTCGAAATGTTTGTCGGTGTTGGACCGAAACGGGTACGTGACATGTTCTCCACGGCTCGATCGAAGGCCCCGTGCATCCTGTTCATTGATGAGATTGATGCGATTGGGGGCAAACGATCCGGTGGAGCGTTTGGTCATCAGGAACGTGAGAACACATTGAATCAACTTCTAGTCGAAATGGACGGTATGTGTTGATTCGAATCCGCGTATATTTTGTTCGGATCCTCATCTCATCGCACTGCACTATTTTATCGTTACGGTTTGTGTCGCCCTAGCTACCAGTTTAAGACCACAGATGGCCCGACACACGATATCAAATAGCTCAATTTTAGTTTATACTACCATTAAACATACTTTCTCTTGTGGTGGTTTTTGGTTACAGTCTTTTTCGGCTACCCATTTGGATGAAGGAGTAGAGGGAGAAATTAGAATTCTCGAGCAGGAATGAACTGGACGAAAGTTGCAAAGTCATTGATTGGATAGATGCATGTGCACCGCTGTTCACGACACTCAGCCGTATCACTCATTGTCTCTCACAATCGGTTGCACTGGTCTAGGACTGCCCCGATCAGGACGCTTTGCACGACCTGGATGACCGAGTCCCTCATGCCAGATTTTGACTAGACCACCCTCGACTTTTTCCTCCTCACTGCCTGTCTCAGAACATATCGCAAATATACAACGCCTATCAGATCGCCCATCATCCAAGCTTAGCCCGATGTGTGCTCTTAAACATTTTGGTGCTTTATTTCTTATATATATTTCAAAAGAAAAGATCAAATTGCAATACTGCATCTCAAATCGTGCAGTATTACAATTTGGT